GATACTGCAGAGCCTCAACGCGTAAACTGAGCGCATGAGTAAATAATTAAATAAATAATAAACAATAAGAATAATAAATCTCGAACCATGAGGTATTTTAATGAAGGCTCAACAATCATTCTCTTCTGTAGCTAATATTTTGAGGGACAAAAACGACACACATGTTTCTGTGTAATAGATAGCCCTCCTAGATTGGTAGAATTGTTTTGGGCTAAAATTACGACAGAAACCGATTTCATCGGACTTTCTAGGAAGCTCAAGTGGGGTGCAACACCAGCGTCAAATAATCGAAAAGGATGGAATTAGTCAGCAGGAATAGAATTTCACTGGCAGTTCGCCGAATTTGCCCGACTTTTCGTTTGATTATTGAAAGCTATTGACGAAATCGGAACGAATTCTATACATGGAGTTTTGTCAACTGCTGAGATTAGGAGACGAAACCTCCACGTTTAATGGGATTTCACCCGCCCCGTGTTCAAAATTGCGGTGGTCAGTGGTGTTTAGGGTGTCTCCTGTTCACCCGATAAAAGCCCTTCGCGCGGCAAGAAGGCAGAGAGCGGACGAGTCGCAGCGTGTGCGATGTAGGACGTACAATGGTACATTCTATTTAACTTGACGCGAAATCACTACAGTACGCGCTGCGACTCGTCCGCTGACTCTGCCTTCTTGCCGCGCGACGGGCCTCCTGTCGGTACCCCACGATCTCCACAATCCATTGAATCGGATCTCTCTTGGTCCCACTGAGCGCTCCACCAACCCAAAGTAAGTGTTAGCCATGCTTACCGCGCAAATCCCAATCGTGCAGACCAAGCAAAAACTAAAATGTCGCGATTTGAACGAAATCGAGGGCGTGGCGCACACCCAAGATTTGCTACACATCTCATTGACTTACCGGGGAAGGCATTCAACGTATGGAACTTTGAAATGAGACCCAGATATATCGATAGAGCTTCAAACGCTGATTACAAATATGGAAACTAAAACTGCAAAATGAACCTGCCAAGGAAGTTGTGAGCAGTCAAAGTTGGCTGGAAGTAAAGCATTACACTAGCCTCCGGGCTTTCAAAGTCGCCGTGGAGTAGTGGTAGTGCTCTCGGAATTTGCACTCCAACGGGAAGGAGAACTCATGACCTCCCGGCTGGAGAGCGAGAGCACTACCACCACTCCACGGCGACTTGAAGCCCGGAGCTAGCGCGATTCATAAATGACGCTTTACTTCCAGCCAACTTTGACTGCTCACAACTTCCTTGGCAGGGTAGTTTTAGTTTCCATATTTGTAATCAGCATTTGAAGCTCTACATATCTGGGATCTTGATTCAAAGTTCCATGGGGTCTTGAATGCCTTTCCTGGATAGAGCACGTAAGAACTTCCACGAACTTACCTCACGTCCTTACACACTTCGCCCAACCGTTGAATGCATCTCACAATTAGTCCTTCTTGAGCATCGGTCATCGCCATGATCTCAGAGAATGGCTGAAAATGCTAGTTTCCTTCTATAATGCAAAACGCCCGCATGTATGTTTCAAAGAATGCTTTGGTTGTGAATAAAACCTTCGCCCAGGGGGTATGTTGAGGCCCTCCGACACATGAAGTGTCATGTTTTTTAGCCAAGATTCGACCAATGGCTGAGTGAGCCATCATGAAGCAAGTCGCGCTTACACGCCACCATTACAAAGCGACATCAAGGTTTAGGGAGTTGCGTGAAATGGGTGACTTTTTGACTTTTAATTGGAGGCGCCAGCAGGTAGATGAGTGGAGATAAAGCCACCCTGGGACCTGGGTACGAGCAAGGTTGTCCTTCGACATACCATTTCGCTGGCCCAATGGTACACGACTTCCATGAGATCGTAGCGCAGTTCTTCGCCGACGTCGGCTATACGAGCTTTCACCAATGCGGCGCGTCCCTCGATCCAATCGTTCGTCGACTGGACGTCTTCTTTTAGCTGAAACAGACGTCTTTTATTGAGTTTCTTATTTGTACAGAAATTTCGGTCACCTGCAGGAAAATGCTGTCCTTGTCGAACTGCGGCCCATCACCGCCTTTGTACTGACAGGTGGTTGCCGAGAACATCGCCGCCACTTCAGCTGGCGATTTTTCGTGCAGCTTTTTCGAGAGGATCAGTTCAGTGATGAGCAGTTCCTTAAAAAGCCCTTAAATTAGACCAAGAGACTCAAAGGAGAGATTGCAGCCAAACCTGATGATGTATTTCACACGCGACACGACCTTTGAAAGTCACCATGCCAGTAGAGTCGACAAAATCCAGCGCTTTTAGGACCTGGAAACGTTACGATATAGAGCAGTAATGACCAGAACAGGTCCTATTTCAAACCTCAATCCTTTTTTGGTATTCCTCACTGAGCTGAAGTGCATCTATGGACAACGAATACTGTAGTCGAGTAATTTGCCGTTCGATTCGAACTCGCTCACGGAGTGCACTCATCTAAAACCTTTTATGAGACCAATTAATCTACTCAATCGTTGCAGAGCATAGATCAAGGCCCAACAACCGTTCAATACATACATGAAGGCACAGTTTGCGTTTGCAGGTATGTGGCTATGGGATCCAAATATGGTAAAATAGGTGCAATTAAGTAACCGTAACAGAAAAGGTACGGAATCTCTGCAAATTAGATTTCCTTACTATGGGCGAAAAGCGACAGCGAGCGACTGCAAGGCAGGCAGTCTAAGTGATAATGGGTATCGAGCGGGGTAAGGGACATAGTCGAAAGAGTATGGAGAACAAGTGGGACGCAGACACTAACGCGTTCGCGAACTGCCTCGATGATTGTGGTATGTATTGAGTATTGATGCAATTTATTACCCCCCCCCCCTCCCGGGACCACTTCCCACAAGTCAATTGCGGAGTTGGCATTATCTCTGCAAGTACGAACTCAGCTACCATTCTCGGAAGTGACTGTTTCAATAAATCAATCGCGGTATAAACTGGACTAGTCTCCTCCGAATGTTTATCAAGAAGAGCGTAGCGCAGAAAGTGGTAGGTAAGCCTGCAAAATAGATCCCGAGCGCCGAGGAATCCTTTGCAGCGTTTCTGGAAGCTTAGACCATCGCAATGGGGCACAAATGTGACTTCACGAAGGTTACTGACTATACAAAAGGTTCTGGACACTACCATATACTCTGAAGGCTGCAGGGTATTGAAAGCGGTAAGATGTCGGTCAG